GTGGAGCCCCCGCGGGGGGGGGGGGGGGGCCCAGCCACGATCAGCCCAGCAAGACCTTGCTCCAGGGTGTGTTTGGGGTGGCTTCTGCCACCCAACCTACCCCCTCCCCAGCCCTTCCCTCTGCACCCTGGGCTGTGCTGGGGGGGGAAGGCAGCAGTGCAGATTTGAAGGCACTGGAGCAAAGATGCAGCTTTAAGATCAATCGGTGTTATTTATGTAATAGTAAAAGCAGGGAGGAGGAGGGGGGGAGAAAGAAGGAAGAAAAAAATAATAATAATTGCCTCAGTATTTCTCAGCTGCACAAAGCTCTTTTTGCTCTGTCTGAACCCTCCGCCCCATCCCCATGTCCTGCTGCAGGGTGGTGCGTGGTGGGAGTGTGTGTGTGTATGTTTACATTTGGATCTGTAATAGAGTCAGGGATGGGGAAGGGGTCTCCCATTTTCCACGGGAGGGTGGGTTTGCCTCCAAGAAAAATAAGAAAAATGCGCTTGCCTGCAACTTGAGTGACGATTCTGTTTCTTCGGCATTAAATGTTAAAGCCCTGCTTCCAGCCATGCCCTGCCAGTACTAAAAGCTCCCCCAAAGAGTGTGGCGTTTGAGAAAAGATGCTGGAGTGCCTGAGCAAAATGCAGTGGTTCAGACTCGTGCTCATGTTCTCAAAAATTTGCATTTTGAAACACAAATTTTGGCTGATGAACATAAAAACAGGCTGCTAACAAAGAGCATTTATTTCTTCACAGTTGTTTTGATTAACTATAATTTTTTTTTCTTGGTCTAAATTATCTGACATATTTTACTTTTAAATAAGTGGTAGTTAAGGAAAGCCAAATCTTAAAAAAAAAAAAAATTAAAACAGCCCCATAAAGTATTGATGTATTTATTCTTTCTTACCAATACCATGCTTAGAAATTCGCAGTGGTTACAACCATGTAAGCACATGATTAGAAAAAAAATAAAAATACATATTTATGCCACAGTCTTCCTTGTCTTATGGGATACACAGCCTGAAATACTTATTTCATACAGCCAAAACAGAGCTAGCTAAATACTTATTGACTGGATAGGCAAGACCTTTCTGTGTCTTGAATGCATTTGCTCATGGCTCTTCCAGAGAAGTTCAATTCAATTAAAAAAACCCAAACAAATACCAAAACCCTGAATCAAAGTATAAAACAATCTCTCCACCTTCACCCATCTTCCTCCTTAACTTTTCGCAGTGAAGTCTTGTCTTGAATTTAGAGCTGCTTTTTTTTTTTTCCCATGAGAGAAGTCTGCTGTGAAGGAAGGGATGTAAAATGAGAAAATGAGAGCAAAGCTTTGAAGTTGGAAGTTGTCTGTGCGTATTTTTCTAGGTAAACTTCTGCTGGAGCCTGGCAAGTTGTTAGCGTGCTGCTCCCTGCTCTGGGGCACAGGAGTTGGCCAGGGGAACTTGGCAGCTCCCAGCCTATCCCAGCCTGAGTTCTTTCTGCTTCACTGACCCTAATAAAATTTCTTACTAGCAGGGTGTTCCCTCCCCTCCTACGGAAAGTGCTCTGCTCCCAACATGTGTGCCAGATGTGCCTGCAATACCCAGGGTTTACCATTTACGCCTATATTATGCCAGCAGCCCACATGTGCCAGCCGGGTCCGGCAAGGGCAGGGTTCCGGCCGTCGAGAACCCTGACATCTCCAAGGATTACTGGGGGAGGCTGGGGCTGAGCCAGCGGTTTGTATTTAATTTATTTCATTGGCCTTTTCAAAGCCAGGCGCCTCCCACTTGGTGTCTCAGCCTGTAGCACTTTTATAGGCTTGAGTGGAGAAACAGGGAGTGTATACATATATATGTTTTTAGTATGGTGTGTGCATGGTGGGGGGCATAAAGGTAGGAGAGCATGTCCGTTGCACTGTTTTGCAGTGAGACAAGCCTTCAAAGCAGCTCGCTTGGCTCTGCCTGTGTTATGAGGCTGTAAGAATTTGCTGTTTCGTGGCCATTGCGAGCTGCCCTCCTGTTAAATTCCCAGGTCTCAGCCTTTGCCACGTTGCTGGACCAGTCCTTGCTACTGTGGGCTGTTTTGTAGCCATGAGGATTCCTCACTGCCTTGATCCCTAAGAATGTGACTCCCAGAGTAGCTCATGCTCAAGCAAAATTAGGGTCTGTGCTGGTTTCTGTCAGGTTTGGGGCCAGGGAGGTCACGGCGTGTGGCCAGGCGTTTCCCAGGCACTTGAAAATGTTGCCTGGGTTGTGCTTCGCCCAGAGACCGGGACCACTGCTCTGCGCTGGACCACCCTAGGAAGGGGATCTGCACCCATGGCTGAGGCAGGGAGAGAAGAGGAGGTGCCTGTGAAGACAACCTGTTTCAGTTTTTCCCCCTTTTCCCCCCAAAAAATCTCACCAAAATTGGAAGTTACTGCCACTGCACTGAGAAGTGTATTTCTGCAGGGACTCCTGTCTCTGTGCCTCACCCTCCCTTCCCGTACATGAGTGCGTGCATGTGCACACATATTTAAAAGGGGACATTTTCAATCTATTTGTGTGATCTGGAGAAAAAAATCATGTATTTGTGGAGAAAGAGCATCATTGGTGTGGAAAGAGGTTCTTAGGCTGTTCTTTGACAGGGGAGGGGGGAAAAGGCAAAGGAAGGGGCACAAGTTAACTTCATAGTTTCCTTTTTTATTAGCAAGGGGTCCTGGTTTATAAAAGCTTTTCTGGGAATAATTTGCTTTCTCTGATTTTAAAGGATTTTCTCTAATTGTAAAGGGAAAAATCAATGAGAGAAGAGAGTAAAACTGCTCATCTGGTTTTGGTTGGGGAGGGAGAGGAGATGCCCCCCCGATGATTTGTTTTACTACATGGATGGAAAAAGGGAGACATCACTCTGGTTTTGGTGGGTCTGGGTAAGGAGTGAGATTTCTGCAGAGAAGACTGTGGTTTTTTGAACTCCTTGTAGCTTAATTATTATCCTCAACTCATTTAAATTAGGTGCTTTCCTTTTGTTTTGGTGACCAGATAGCACACTAGCAAGGGAAAATGTTGTTCTCTTTTGTTTTACAAAGTGAGGAATTTTTTTGCTTTTATTTTATTTGATTGGTTTCCTGGAGTGCATAATAACTAAAATGTTATTTCATTTGCTCTACAACATGTATGCTATTCCAATTAAGAGCCCACTCTGATGATTTTTAACCTGGTAGTTTACCTTTTCTCTGCTCAGGAGAATAAAACGTTGAGTCTTTGCACTTTGAAATAGCAGAGATGCTGAAGCAAAACTGCCTTTTCCCCGGCTAAGTCATTTCCAGTTCTGTTTGAGTTCCCGCTTCACTGGTTCATTTTCTGACAGAATCACATCCTTGCAAGAAGCAGAACTATGATCTTATGTAATTTGATGTTTCCAGATCAAAAGTTACAAATATTGCAGTAATACCGTGATGAGAGAGATTTGACAGGAGGAGTGTTGCATGGCATATGTGATTTCTTATTAGGATTTCAAATCAAGGAGCTTTTAAAAATTTATGGGGGGAAAAAGAAGAACTTAAAAACATGAATAAACAAAAACTTGCTCTTTTGATATCTTCTTTAACATCACTTTCTCTTTTTATCTTATCTCTGTAGGCACTTGAGACTTTATTTTTTTCTTTTATAAAGCAAACTCTTCTGTGCTTAAGAAATATGTAATCGTAATATCAAAAAGTGAAGCAGGTTGAAACTCTCTCTCTCTCAGAGTTGATTCAAGGAGATGATACTCTGTAAATCAATGTCAATTCAGATTTAAAGACTGGCTGTTACCTGCCGTGTTACAAGGTCTATCAGCATAGCTTATTATAACTAAAAGCTAAAATATTCTGTTTCTGCTTTGAACTGACAGATTGGCATTGCTGGGCACTTTGACAGAGTAACATGTACTACTTACCAGTGAACCGGGTATTCGTGGATCCCTGACCAATATGTTTCAGAGGAAAAGTCTTGTCATGAGATATTTTTAAAACTATGAATATATATATATATATATTTCCTCTTTGTTGTAGATAGAAAAGGAGGAAGAATCATGGAGAAATTTTATATCTTTATGATATCAGTCTAGCTTGAGGGGTGGTGCTGCATTGTGGCTATAAGACTTATATTTTTCTCAGAAACAAATGCATGATTTGCATTCCTCTGTGCCATTTCACCATCGCTGCACTGATAGTCAAATAATTTTCCTAGAAATATATATATATTTTTTGCCAGCTGTCCTGAATCATTCTTCCTGGAGCATCTTCAAAGGCAGAGTTGAAATCTGGACAAGAGGGCACCGGTGGTTATGTGGAGCGACAAACTCTTCCTACAGAAAGTTCAAATTCCTTGGGAAGTTCGAGCCTTACTCACCAAAAACCTTAGGTTTTTATACAAAATTGTTGTGAACAAAGCTGTTTTTACTGTAGGGGGATTCAAACTTCACCACATATTGTCCTGCCGGCTATCAGCAGAGGTGATCTTTTGAATGTAAGGATGTTTGTGAAAGCAGCAGACACGGAAATCTGTGTTCTTCCAGTGTGTTGGCAGCCAGAAGGAGGAAAATGCATTATGAAATGGAATAGGGCTGGCAGTTTAGTTTCCTATTCCAGGTAAGTCTTGCTTTCTAGGATGTGACACATCCTTGTTTTTTTAAAAGCGAGAAGGGGCGAAGAAGAGAGGAGTTGCTGGTTGTCGATTCAGGTGGAGGAACTTGCTGAATGGCATTTATCAGTACATTTAAATGAGGATGATTCAATTAGATTTCACTGATATCTCCTTAAGCTT